TTAAGACGCACATGCTCTACCATATGCTATTATTTGATGTGTATAGTATCTTTTATCTTATTGATAATAGTAAATCGATTTTATTTTCAGTGCAAGCCTGAACAAAGCGCCAGTGCGAATTGAGAAAAGTGCAACCCGTGGAGCGTATGAATTTAATGATTTAATCGCAGACCCCCGCCCCTTTTGGGCCACGCCTTGTTGACACTGCATGCGTGTCAAGAGAATTTGTCAAAAAATGCAACCGCCGTCGGCGGCCTCAGGGGAAATTGGACAAAGCCAAGTGGACTTTGTGGCAGTGGAGCGGGCCTAGGGTTGCACTTGGCCAAGTTATTGACTTTGTGTCTCTGCCAAATCCTGGCATGTGGTCAACATTTAAGTGTAATTAATGCCCGCGGCCAGTCGTCGGTTGCATTTCATTCGATCTCAGCCGGCGGAAGCTGTAATATGAAAGCCAAATATTGCGCTTAATTTGATTAGCGTGTCTGCGCCCAGATTCCGATTGCATTTTTCCGTTTTATTTGTGCATCCCAGCCCGCGGCCATTATTCCTTTTCCACAATTTTCCTCTCCCGGTGAGAGCCTTTTCTTTATTATTTTTTCGTACCCTGATTTTACAATTTAGAATATGGAATTTTTCGCATCCAAGATAAATTATATATTTTGTAGAGATAAATCTATAAGAGCTACAATGAATTTTTTTAAGCGCTTCTTTAAAACTGAAAAAAAAAATGTGGATACAAAAAATGTATTGCTTAAATTACTATTTTTAATCATTTCAACAAATATATTGTACATATATTAAAGACACATTCCTTAAATATTTTATTTGTTCCTAGAATATATAAATATAATTTATCATATATCTTATTATATTATGGTAGTCATGGAAATATCTTTAAAGTGAAGTAAAAATATTGTTCTTGGTTTCAGTACCAACTATTTTTTCTAATTTCTTGAAATTAAAGAGTTTTCTTTTGAGTTCCAGCATTTCAATATTTAACAGGAATCCCTGGGGATTTTTGCCTTTCGTTCAGCACTTTCGTTTTAATTTTCTCAGGAGGTGGTCGCTAATCGAAAGTGTTTCTACTTTGGTAATTAATAGTTTTCCAGCATCAGAAACTTTCAAACACTTTGAACTCTTGGAAACTGTATGCAAATGTGCCATCAAGTTCAGTTCCCTTTCTTTGCTGATTTTCTTAGGCGGGCAAATTGAATTTACCTTGGGTCCGCTGAAAGGCTTTCCATTTCCATAGTTTCTATTAACCCCTGCATGTCCCGTGGGGCCTTTGACGCCTCGTGTGTGAAGCATAATTACAGGGACTAGCCAAGTTCTTCAATTAAAATGTATTTGGGATTCGTGATGGGATGACTTATGTGGGAAGTGTGTGGGTTCCTTTTAGTTTTCACGTCAAAGTAGTAAAGTTTTGGTCGCGGTTCGATGCGGTTTTGTGCGATTTTTAACCCTTTGTGCCACTGACAAGCCAATTAATGATGATTTGTGGTCAGTTTGTGTAAAAGAGTTGTAGTATTCTGAAATTGCAATATACATGGCAATATATAAACGAATACAAACCTATTTCAAGTGTAATATTATTTTTATTATTAATTGATTATTAACTAAAAATTCTTGGCCTACACATTTTAGGGGAGAGATCTGCAGGTTGGGCCTTTCTGTAAATTGCTCCTGTCAACTATCTTCAATTTTTTTTTTTGGTCTAAATTTTCATTTGATGACACATTTTATGGTAATAATAAAAATGCCATGCTCAAGCCGTAACAATTTTAAAAGCTTTAAGTATAAATGCAAAAGGGCTGCAGGCATAAGTTATTGAACTCTTTATAATACCTATAACTTTAAAAATATATTTAGAATAGGCTCTGAAAATAAAAACCTGTACCTTGTTACAACTTAGACACATTATTATCCACTGTTTAAAAAAATCACTTTGCTTTCCCTCAGCTAAAAAAGCCTGGTAGCCATATCGAACACACTTCCATGCCAAAGTATCCAACAAAAAAGGAGCAAAAACCCATGGCAGTCATAATGATGACACACTTACCACATAAACCGCACGCACCACATATAACCACCACTGGATCCACTGAGAGTGGTGCCAACCGCCCAACGAGGGGTGGGGCGAAAGCGCCATACAGCCGGGAAAAACCCCGAAAAAGGGTTGGCAACTGGAAAGGCTTTCGCAGCTCCAGAACTGCCACTAAAATGCACGCTAATGAGTTTCAATTACGACCAACTGACAAGATGGGACGCTGTGAAACAGTTTTTATTTTTATTGACATGGCATTTGTGTCCCACACCCTGAGTTCCATTTCCCCCGGTTGTTTTCGGTGTCGTCGCTTCTGTTGTCAATTTCCGTAAAATTTTTGTCCTTTTTTTGAGTGTTTGTTTGTCGCTACTTTGATTGAAACTAAACGACGAGCTGAGCTGCGGCTGAAGGTGTGGCCATGGGGAAAATGGGAAGGGGGGCTGGGATCGAGTGCTTGATTTTAATTAAATTCTCATTCCCGCAAAGTGTGGCACAAGCAGCTGAGGCCTTCCTAGCCAACCTCATCGTCTTTTCGTCCTGTGGCATCAATGGCCTCTACTCTGCATCTGTTCGTCACTTGTCATTCCGATTTCGGGTTGCACTAAATCGGGGGAGTACTAGGGTTATAAAGTCGTGTTGATCTTGACTAATCTGTAATTTATTAATAAATTTAATAAAAAAAATGTTTAAGTATATATTCTTATTTAATCTAGAATCAATAAAAAATGTATAAACTTCAAAATGTATTAGGAGCAGTTTTTTCCATCATAAAAAGGGAGTGTTTTTATTTTAGGCATATTGTATATTTTTTAAATATCCTTGCGTGAAGTCTAAGCCTACATTACATTGAGCTCGGATCTAAAGTCAATATATATCCTATAAATATTTTTTTCAGTATTTAATAACTCAACAATGCCTAATGTTAGATGTTATAATTAACATATTATTTTAAATAAATACAAAAAATAAATTATAAGAAACGGGTATCTTTGCTCGCTATATTTACGAGAGTACATACCTACTTCACAAGTAAGCAGACTAATTACACTTATTTTCAAAAACCATTGTATCTTGTTGAATATTTAAATAGTATACATCCTATTCGGTGTTCAAAAGTATCCATTCGCTGTCCTTGCTTTTTAAAATCGTAAACTTTTATGATTACAAGGGCCCTAGTGCGTTGGGTGTTGTCGCTTACTTTGTGGCCTGGAGTCGGTGTTGCCATTGCCATTGGCACATGTTACAGCGGGCGAGAGCCATCTAAATGGTTATGGCGCCGTGCATTTTAAATAATTAATGGCCGAGTTGAGGACGAGTGGAGTTCCAGTGCACAGTGCACACAAACCCAAGCTCAAAACAGGAGCAGCCATCTCGACGGGGGCGCCACAAATGTAATAAAAATGTTGGGCCAAAACTTTGACCAAGAAGCCGACAACGAAGCAGAAGTTTTCCTGACTTTGGCCAAAATTCGACTCGACTGCATTTCAATTCCCAAACGATTATAAACTATCGACCGTTTGCAAATTTAATTTACAACTGCACAAAGTGAACAAACCGCAACAAGAGCTCGGAGCGAAGTTTTTACTTTGTTAAAGTCGAAGGGCAGACTTTTATTTGCCACCTACACAACAACTTTGGCCAGAGGGTCAGTTTGCAGCTGGAGCTCCTGGAATTAGCTGCTAACTGGGAAATACACATGCACTCGAAAAAACAAGACTGAGGTTATAAAAATATACATATTTGCAAAAAATAAGAAATGTTCTAACCGCATACTTTTTATTTGATTAGAAAATTAACAAACAAATGTAATAAGAGGTTCCTAGTTTATGTATATATATGGTAAAAATTCCATAGAACTTTATATTGAAGAAAATATAATATATTTCAGAATTATCATGGTTTTCTGCAAATTGTACAATATGTTTTTCCAAAAAAACATTTTCATTTGAAATCATTTCCTAAATTTGGTGTAGGCTATACCTATCTTCTTCTATCTTCTTCTATCATTTATTTAAATATTAAAATTTTCTTAGGCATTGGAAACCTTTTTAAATAATTAACTACGATATTTTTTCTCGGTGAGAGATATAGCAGCAAAGTTTCCTGAAACAGGAAATTATGTTTATTATTACTTTGGCACACACAATTTGGACTCCAAGTGGCCAAAAGCTTCTCCCCGAACAATATGCAAATGCGCAGCAGCCAAGGAGCCTCAGAAGACTTTGAAAGGAGTGCCCCAATACCGCCTTCACCCATTGCCGAAAACTCCAAATTTAAATTAATAAGACGGGGCAGGATCGCCCAGCTGGATGAGCTTCGTTAGCCCGTGGAGCATCATCATCAGCAGCGAGTCCTCCTCCTTGGAGTGCACACTAAATTGCACTTTAATTGCACTTTAGGCGAGAGCCAGTCGATGGGAAAAACTCAAAAGTTTGTTTCCCTTCCACCAGGAAACATTTTCGGCCATTGTCTGAATGGGGTGCAGACGGGAAATTGGTAATCATCATAAATAAGTGATTCAAATTAATTAAATTCAGTTTTGCGACAGAAGCCTTTTCCAGGAGAGCCATAATCGAAGTGTTGGTAAACAGTTCAGCCTTTAAGTCGGGGGAAAATAAAGCCTAAGAAACAAAAGACTATCCATTCAAATTGTTTAGTTCAAAACTGAAGTTGAGTTAACAAAATGAAGTCGAATTATTTAATGATTATATAACAAATAAAAATATATTTTAAAATACATCAAGGTAGGAATCTTAGGTCTTAGCAAGCAACTGGCCATCGATCCAATTTATTAAGTTAATAATTTAAGGACAAATTTTTATTCGCATGTACCTTTATTGAAAATATATTTATTTTGCTTGCCTATTATTTTACTATACATTTAAACACAGATATACAAAATGTTTAATTTGTACTTTAAATGTTTTTTTAGCAAATTTATATAGAAGATCCGTGGAATCAACTTAGCTCCACTTGGTCCAATTCAAGTTTAGCCTCCATAGTCGGCGCCTGTTTGTCATTATGCCTAATGCCCCTCAGCCACTTGATATACTCCTCCGGAATCCCGGTTTCCTTGGCTCCTTTAACCAGGACCTTAAGATATGTTTTCGAGGGCTGACGATCGAGAGGAATATTTTCCTGGACACCATCGGCATGGAGTTCTGATTGGGGCTGGTTTGTCAGGTGATAGGCACGACAGGTGATATTGGAATCGGTGGTCAAGGAATGAACGGGAACGCTTATCGGAATGTATATGCCATTGGACACACCTTCCTGACTGAGAAAATTAAATTGTATTAGAACTAAAAGGAAATACTTGAAGAAACTTACTCATCTAAATCCTTGAGGTTGCACATATCAATCTCCCAGATGGATCCGTAGACATGGGATCCTTGAGTGGGTACGATTGTGGCGGGAGCCCCCAGCCAGGTTTTCGAGGCTGTGTGAAAGTCCAGTCGGAAGTTCTAAGGAGTAAGTCATTCGAGTATAAATTTAACTATTTTCTTTTTAAGTTTTTTTGTCTTATCAAGCAGAGGTTAATTATTATAATATCTTATAACAATTAAAGGATCATGATTTATATGATATATAGCTTTAACAAAGAGCACTTTGTTTCACCAGTTCCTTCCCAAATTAAATAATGGAAACCAAGTTCGTACGGTCCCAATATAAATTCATTTTTTCATACCTCTAGTTTTCCGGCCCCAATTCTTTTAGCAGTGGGGTTTTGTATGTGAATCCGACTGGCCAGCATATTACTACCGAAACCGAAATAAAAGAACTTACTGGCCATATTTATGCAAAAAGTGGATCTGAAACTATAAAAAGCTGGTGAGTAAAAGGATTATTTATCGGCGACCAAGAGCCCAAGCCATTATATATATAATAATCATAATAATAATAATAAACATGAGATGTTTTCCACTCAGTTAAGTTTTGTGAGCACCGGAAGCCGTTTGTTATTCAATGCACTTCAAACTGTGCACTGCTTAGGCAAGCAGTTAATAGTGTGGTTAAAGTCTTGGCTAAGACCAAAAGCACATATTGACAAGCCCAGCTGTCTAAAAGCTTTTCATCGTAAATCAAAACAGCTGTTCACCACAATAAATATGTTTTAATAAACGCCGTCATTGTGCATTCTTTCACGTATTTTTTGAATAAAATAAATAAATTTAGTTCTGATTTACCTTTTGAACACACAGGTGGTAGGTACACGTCAACTTACACTGAAAAAGAATTTTGTTTACACGTTTCGGACGGACGGATGGAAGGCAACTGATTAGAATGATACATTTTATGAGTTTTTAGTAGTAGCAAAAGAGATAAAGCCAATAAAAAGCTTGACTATCTTCTTCTTTTTGGTTGGGTAAAGCACTAAGATCGTAAACTACATCGTAACGTTAAGCCAAGACTCAATCCAAATTTGTATCTTACGTCATATCCATCCTTAATCGCTAAAATAACGTAAGCGACATCAAACATTTACCAGATTAGGAAATATATGACTCATGTTTATGAAGAGGAAGAACACTTGGCGCCTTGATTCAAAAATATTTCATTTTTGAGCTTGATAAAAGTGTAGGAACAGAAAAGAACGAGAATGGATAATATTATCCATTAATTAATTAGGTGTCCTTGACTATTTCAAATTGCCTGTGATTGGGTCCTGTTTTGCGGAGTCAAATTTTCAATTTATCTTTTTAAAATTGTGGCGACCTCAGGGATAAGTCACAGAGCTGCTAACAACCAACAAAGCAGCATTTAGAGAACCGTCATATTTTCTTATCTTCCCATAAAGTCTTTTCAAGCTAGGCATATTTAAGATTACGTTTTTATGAGTGCATGTATGTTAATCATGTATGCTTTGTTTGACAACAGCATCAAAGAGTTTTTTATATATTTAGTTTATTTTTGATCAATTGCTTAACTTTTGAATTTGAAAATAGAAATTCCTCTGCAAGAGTGTAGTTTAGAGTGCGACATTCTGTAATTCCAGTTTCTGCTCCATTGCTCTATTCACCTGCCCATTGTGCTTGATGCCCCTTAACCGCCGCACATAGTCCTCCGGAATGGAGCTCTCGATAGCGCCCTTGACCAGGCATTGCAGATATGTTTTCGAGGGCTGACGGGATGCAGGAACAGAATCCCTCGACAGCTCGTAGAGATTGCTCTCCGGCTGTTTGGTCAGTAGATAGGCTCGGGCAGGAGTTAGCTCAGAGTCACCTCGGAGTTTCACGAACACGGTGCGGGGCTCATAGATGCCCAGATGGACGCCTTCTTGGCTGGAAAAGGGTAAGCAAAATATAAACCTTAGTAACTTATGATCTCCAAGTCTCTTAAAAATGTGAATTTGTATGAAAAATAATATATCGTACATTATATATTATTTAATAACAATTTAATTTCAACGGTTAAAAAAGTATTAAAAAGAGAAAAGAAAATATTAAATTAAAGTATGATATATTAGGTTTTTTTTGGCTGGGTTATAGAAAAGCAGCTTAGGTATATTCACTAGGTCATCAGAAAATCACTCTAGTGCAAAAGCAAAATAAGTTAAAAGTCAGATACATTTTATAAAGGTTAGTATACTAATCCTAACGATTTTAACTACATTTCCTTTCAAAACCCAATATTCTGTTTAATACCTACTTGTCTATATCCGGCAGGTTGGCGAGGTCTATCTCCCAGAGGGTTCCCCACGCACTGTCTCCCTGGGTGGGGACAATGGTGCCCACGGCTCCTCCCCACCGATCCGAGATGAAGGCGAAGTCCAACCGGTAATCGGAAAGCAGGGCGGGACCAATTCTGACCGCCGTGGGGTTCTGGATGTGGATCCTCTTGGCCAGCATATTGCTCCCGAACCCAAAGTAGAGGAACTTATTGCCCCGCACCTCTGGCTGATTCAAGGTGGCATTATCACCTGCGATGCTCTGACTTTGAGAGTTGGGGAGACCCAGCAGCAGACAGGTGACGACACCGATAAGACATTCACGATGCATTATAATGTGAGTATTTGTTTTGATTGACACGACCAAGTGATTCGATCTGGCTGGAGGCTGAACGACTACTGCGCCTTTAAATCATCTTTCAGTATGTCTGTCTTGAAGACTTCTCTTCTATTTGTTGGTGTCCCAAAAGTCTGGCACGCTTTTTATTTTAGTCGGTTAAAAATAGCTCGTAAAATGTCTGAGTATTTATTAAACTAATTAACATACTTATTGTATTGATAAACTTTTTTGTTTAATTCTGAAACGCATATTCTAATAGATTATGAGTCAACATTAGCTGAGCGAGAGAGTATCAACATTTGTGTTTGTTAGTAAAAAATCGCTTATCGCAACATCTCAATTGTTCTTTTGTAATGCAATCAGTGAGAGGAGGCTTTGAAAACCTATCTTGATATCGCTGAATGTTAAACATGAGTTCTTTTTAGTATATTTTTCAATATGCATATAATTTTTAAAGATTTCATATTATATAAAATGATTTAAACTTTTTTGTTGATTTTGGTAACTTAAATGTATTTTGTCTGGCTCAAGTCAAGTCGAAAATATGTTTTGAAATAATTACTTTTATAATTAACGAGTATTAACCTACCGGTTTTTTTGTCGTACGTACGAATTTCGGACGAGTTCATTTCTGTTTCTATTTCAATCCCAACCATTAAATGAATCAGTTACATTTTCTTATCAAAACATAACGAGTAATATTCATATTTAACTATTATTATTACACCACACACAAAAAAAAAAAATGTTAGCATTATCATTTTATGAATCGTATTTAAGAGTTTCACCAAATAACAGAAGTGAAAACTAGTATAATTTAAATGAAATAAAATATTAGCTAAATTAACATACTAAATACAGAGTTACTTTTTATTTGCTATCCTTGATGCTTCTTGCCCAACAATTTTATTTTTCAAGCAAATTGTCGAAATTGAAGCAAACACATGGGCATCGACCATCATCAGAAACCGAATCGTTTGGCTTTCGATTTCAATATTTGGTGACATGATGGCAACATGCACATCATGGGAAAATGGGGGACAATTTGCGTCTGTTTGTTCGGGGCGCCGCACTGACAGGCGTTTGGCGCGCGAATGTATGCGAATTTATTTAAATGATTTTTGCGATTTTATTGCGGAATTTGTTGCATGTTCTCGATGGATGTTGGTGCTGCTTGCGGCGGAACTTTGGCCAGTTTGACATGGTTTCTGACCAAAACCATAACCAAATTCAGATCAGAACAGGACAGGCGACAGGAGTTGAATGCGTTAAGAGGTCTGACATGGTCGCCATGACAGCTGCACTTTGTGGTGATTTATGAATTTGACTGGAAATGCCAGGTGGAAAAATGGATTTTAAATAATGACAGCTACATGTTTTATAAATGTTACTAAAAATTATAATGTGTAACTTGTAGCAATATCAGTTGAGAGGTATTTCTGTAACATTTATATATTTTTATATTATTAATACTATTTTATAATATTCTGTACCGTTCATAATGGATTTACCGTTCAAAATGGATTTTAAAATCATTTCTTAAACAAAACAAGTTAAGGATTGCCTTTCCACGACTCTTAACATTTATTTCAATCTGTTTTAAATGTGTGTGGACATGGAGATTTGTACTTTAACAAAATTATAACTATTAGTTAACTATTAAAACAGACTTTGGTTAATACTTACATAAATTTACGTTACGTATTTTGTAAACAAGCAAATGTTGTTTAAACCTCTGTCAGTGGCTTGCATTTATTTATTGATGTTCACTTGAGGGGTATTTCTGTAACATTTATACATTTTTATATTATTAATATTATTTTATAATATTCTTCTCCGCTCATAATGGATTTACCGTTCAAAATGGATTTTTAAAACAATTCTTAAAAAAAAACAAGTTAAGGGTTGCCTTTCCACGACTCTTAACATTTATTACAAGCTGTTTTAAATGTGTGGGGATATGGTGATTTGTACTTTAACAAAATTAGAACTATTAGTTAACTATTAATATTTACTAAAATTTATGTTACGTATTTTGTTAGCAAGCAAATGTTGTTTAAGCCTCTGTCATTTGCTTGCATTTATCTATTGATGTTCACTTGAAGAAAAATAATATTACATTGCTGATTGCAGATAAAGCCCGAGTTATCCTTTCCAGCCACTCGAGAACGTCACTTAAGTGGGTTAATTTACGGCCCAACTTGCCGCAAATCATTCAATTGGCTGCCTCGTCTTAGACCTTATGACCTGATGGCCAAACAAAAACAGGCGCCGGCATAAATATTCATACATGCGTGTTGTCCCGGGGGTCCCTTTCACCCGGTAAATCCTTGTCATTGTCCTCGTATCTTGGCTTATTTTCACGCACACATGAGCACGTAAAGAGCACAAATGATCACGGCATCGTCATCCGAAATCATCATTATCCTCAGCGGCTTTGGGGGCAAACAGAGCGAAAACATACATGTTTACTGGCAAAACATATCTATACCTCCGGCATATTCATAGATACTCGAAGCGCACGTAATTTGAATATGCCGCCTTTGCCGGCACTCGATGCCATCGAAATGCCAACTGTGGAGTCATCATTTATTTCTCTCACCTGCCGCTAGTTTTTGTCATGTAAATATCGCACATCAAGTGTCTTTCGTTACTTTTTCAGTCGTACAAAAAGGGGGAAAAAAGACACCCACATACAGACAGCAGCCATATGATAAATGGATTTTCCGCCTCCACGAACTTTGGATGTCGCATGCAGCACTTGGCTGTACTCGTTTGCCTTCCTCATTTAAAGTTTGGCGCGCAAAATTTTCACGCTTTTATGCACGTCCACGTTGCGTATACGTACTCGAATATCTGTGCATAAGCATATTTTATGCGCTCCATTCTTTTGTGCTGCGAATCGATTGTAAGTTTGATGGCATCGCCAATAGATGATAAATAACACTCATTTTGGAAATGGGTTTTGATTCAGCAGTTTTGAAAGGATTACATAGAGTTATATTGCAAAAATGTGCAGCATGTTCAGATTAAAAGCAATGTTAACAGAATATTTCAATGTTAATAAGTTGTAATATTTAATAGCTAAAAGATATTTGGTAAAATTTAACTAAAAAATATTTTATCATTTTATATAACATTTAAATATAAAAAACTATTTGGAATATTACTTACTTTTAAGTCCGTCAAGCACTTTAAAGTATCAACAGTCTAAATGAACTTTAACTATTAAGGCAACGATCATTTTGATCAAATCAAATAAAGCCTTTTGCTATTCAATTAGAATCCAATTTAAACATGTTATACTCTACTCCTGGCATTTGTCAATTAATTGTACTCCTAAAAGTGCAGCTTAAGCAAATTAAATATTTAACAAAGCGTGAATGGATCAATTAACTGAAATGCCGCAGTGAAGCAAATACCATAAAAGTTATTTGCATTGCATTTATTTGTTTTTTCCACAGTTTTAATTAATTTTTAATGTTCAGCAAAGGCGGCAGCGAAACAATCAAACAGAAATTGTCGATTTATGGTAATTGTTGTGCGAACCGAAATCCGCAAAGGATTCACCACGTGTCCGGGTATGGATGAGTGTTCGATTGGGTGTATCTATGAAATGAATTTCCAACAAGGTCTAGGCCTGACACGAGTTTGCCATTAAAATGATTGAGCCGCAAACCAAAGAATCCACAATAAACATCCGCCCAAATTGCCAAGTAAACGGATTAAATTTCCGTTTCCGATATGCAAAGCGGTAAAGAGATTTTGGATTGTCAAAAGCTTTCGAATACTCTGATGATTCCATTTTGCTTGTTGTGCAAGTAGGCAATAAACTCAAAAAAAATCTGACAAATCTTTGCAAGAGTTTTTAATTTGAAGTCATTTGGAAAATCATTTTGTGCCTAAATAAGAACTAAATAGTTTTATAGTATCACTTTAATTGCATATTATTGGCCTAAAATTAAGTTAAATAATAATGAAACTATATTTGTTAGTTAATACTTACCTTATAGTAAGGTATAATAAAACCCATCTTTAATCCAACCCTAGCATGTTAATCATCCTTCAGTGAGGGTATAATTATGAAAAGAGAGCCCTGAAAGATTTCGTAATCAATTTAAGCGCTTGAAAAACCAACAAGGACTCGAGAACCGTTGGCAAGTCACGTTGTTTGATATCTGCCGGCACACGGCGCAGCTCCTTGATGTGTGCTCTTGTCACAGGGAAAAGTTTTCGGCAGGTTCGCAGGCCAAATATTTGCCTGGGAAATTCGCAAGCTCGAGGGAAAGGGAAGCAAACATGTGGCAAAAAGAACATATTTTTGTGGCTTAGCTCAAAAAATATGTATTTTTGGTTAAGAAAATTCACAAAGGCGGCGGTGATGTAAGAGTTGAAGTGTGAGTGGTATGGGATTGACCTCAACTGAACTCACTTCGCCAATCAACGTCACTTCAGATGAAAAACGAGTGTGCGAGGCCAAGATTTCCATTTTTGTGCATATTTTTTCAATAAACTTAGCATACTCAAATTGCATTTTAACAAGTGAGTACCAGCAGGTATTATTAAATTATTAAATTTTCTTTAATTCATGGAACTTACACAAGGTGCAGTTGTCTGATATTGTGTTGTATTCCTCAATTTTTTACTGAAGAATAGCGCAGTTATGTATATTCAACAAGGCCACAACCAAGCCGAAACAAGTTTAGTACTGATTTCTGTGGCTTATGAGTACACTCAAAAAATACGGATTTTAAATTAATAATTATCTATAAAATATTGAAATTTTAATTTAAATACTAATTTAAATTCATTTATAAATTGAATATAGCCTTTGTTTGAAACTCTGTTGGTGCTGGAACTAGGTATGATTTACTATAATTCGATCACAGAGTTCGTGTAGAGTTTAAATCAAAAATCATGTTCAGATATTTATGGTTTTTTACAGAACTTAAAAATATATTTTTATTTCCTTGAGTGTAGTAACGTCAGTAGTTCATTCAGAATGCTACGAAATGAAATCCAACTTCAACTCAAGTCGGGTTGACCCCATTACGCATACGCAGTGTGCGCCAGATAAGCATCCTCGCATCATCATAATCAGGCAACTCGAATCGAGGGCATCAGCATTATTAGCAACCCATCGCCAGCGCCGACAACAAAGTGATAAACTGCTCGACATCCAGGCATCAGGGAGTCAATTATATAATGATGCCTCGATATCTAGGTGGTTGTTGCTGTTGACCCGCCTGTTTCGCCTGACAAGCTCGTTAAAATTTATGTTTTGTTTGTGTTTCAGGGAAGCGGGGATCCAGAATGCCTCGCATGACGCACTCATTTGTGACGCCGTCCGCAGGACTTGACAGGATTCGGGATTCAAGGGGTTAGGGTCCAGCCCCAGTTGGCTGTGACAGGCAGCAACTGTCACAATAGCTGTCAATGCTTGGACATTTGTCGATGACCATAAAACAGAAGCTTAAATATTGGATCGCTTTCGAAAGGGGCCATTATGGAGCAGCACTTGAGGTGGATAAATGGGAAGAAGAATGTATATTGATATGAAAGCAAACGAAAGCGATTACAATAAAATTAGTCTTGGAAGGGGCACGACATGAAAGTTGAGAAAGGAGAAGGAATAAATTATAATTTACTCATTCAGATTCTTTTTAAGTTTTGGAACAGACAGATTTTGATAGTTTTTTAAATAAACTAAACATTAAATTTATAAAATATTATTATATAATTTTATAACCAAGACTTATAATACCAACATTTAATCTTTGGTAACAACTCAATAGTATACTATTATCGACAATTTTTATTGACCAAATTATTTTAATTACCTGGCTAGTTTTCTGAATACCTCTGTATCATATTAATTGAACATTGTGCGAACGTATATTTATTTAAGATATGATGAAAATATATAATATAAAAAGACAAAGAGGGTACAAATTAAAGCTGAATTAGGATTCATACTGCCGAACAAAAAAACTTAAAATATCAATGTCGATTCCCACAGTATAATTTAAATTTAATGGAAAGCAAATATGGGCACGGATTGCTTACAATTATGGCTGTTAAATAAGAACGTTAATATAAAAAGGCAAAGTGGTTTAAAATCTGAAATATAATTTAGGATTGTTAGTGCCGAACAAAAAACTTAGAATAACAATGTTTATTCACACCATATAATTAAAATTTAATGGAAAGCAATGATTATGTGATTGCTTTACTAAAATGTATTTGGGCATTTCAGCTTCTCAGTTATAAATATTTGATATATTTGTTCTGCATTTCTTTGTGCCTATCCGGGATAGGGCCAGCAAACTTGGCGGATGTTACTGAAGTAATGCATTGGAGGGCAGGCCGCGTCCTTTGCTTCTTCTTGTGGGGACCGGGTAGCGACCTGTGCATCAACACCGCTGAGGACCAGACCCAGGAAGAAAAGCACAAAGACTTGGAGTAGGTTCATCTTGTCGGAAACAGTGGATGTGTTAATCGGTTTTGGGACGCAAGCGGCTATTTATACACGGCTGAAGAGTTGCAAACCTCCGACCGAGCATGCGATTCGGATTTTTCAATTGGTATTGCGATTTTACGGTTACCATTCAAGGTACTTCCGTGACATTCGGGAAGCTAATCACTTACGTAAGCTCTTCGCAGTAGTTCACTTGGCGTATGCTTGATGGCAGCCAATCGAGCAGTCCACAAACACATGCTCCATTTTTCTTCCTGCCCGAGCCCCTTCGGATCTCTTTAGTCTTCCTGGCCCATTTCAAATGCATTTCGGTTTAAATTTGTATGACAAGCAAATCGAGTTTCTTCATTGAAAAAACTAATTTAATTATCTGGTTAATTTAGCTTACTAACTCTGTATAACAGTAATTGAACTTTGTGCAAATACGAATATTTGAGGTATGCTTACAATTAAGGCTGTCAAAAAAAAATGTTAATATAAAAAAACAAAGTGGTTAAAAATCTGAAATATGAATTAGGATTGTTGCTGCCGAACAAAAAACTTAGAATAACAATGTTTATTCACACCATATAATTGAAATTTAATGGAAAGCAAATATGGGCCGTAAGAACGGACACAAAAGCGCTACAAATAATCAAGCGAAAAACTCTCATTCAGTCAGTAAATAATATTTGTACGCCAGCGGCAATCAGAAAAACGTTTTATTGGCTGTCCAAAGAATTGCCCACAGATAACAGTAAATATTTGGAATAAAATCTGTGTTTGCCAGCCAGTTAACCGACTGAGTGCAGTGCAGAGCCCGCATTGAAATGCAATAAATCTGCGCCGAGCAGGCTTTAACTTCCCCGATGAACAGCCCCAACGGGCTGTCTTTTCCCAGCTCCCAGATCCGGGTTTTCAGATTTCAGTTTCGACTGCACAATCCTCGGTTCCTAGGTTCGCAGGAAGAAGCCTGTGGGATCCTGCACATGTTTACATGACGTTGGCCTGACTGCATCGCGGCTGCATGCAAAATTAATAAGCCATAACAAGTTGGTTTATGCTGCGGCTTCCTGGGTCGGGGAAACCGTGCTCGTTCGGGGTGAATTAATTAACGAGCGATGCCGTGGCAGGAGGCACAAAGTTGTGCATCCAAGAAATCCCTTGCATGTCCTTGGCCACATTTCCTAGGAGCCATAATGTGCTGAAAGAATCTGCTGAAGCTCGTTGAAGTAATGGCCCATTGAGCCCACCAATTTACTCATAACCAAGTTTCTTAACCCATCAGAACTAACAGAAAAGATTTCCAGTGCAGACAGCTAAGTTTATGGGTAAAGTTAAGATCTTCAAATGGCACTTCTAGTAAGCATGATCATGTATGGGATGGGTCAGTTTAAATGTTTGCAGGAATACTTTGCCTTTTTTAAAGGATAGATCGAAAACCTAAAACAAGTATTATAAAAATAAGTATTTACACGTGTCCCCTTAAATATTTACCATAATTATGTAGATATGGCCTTGGCCAAATCCAGAGATAGAACTCAATTTACAAAGTTTTTATTACGATTTTTACACCACACCAGCTTAGCTAAAGTGAAAAGATTAATACTGATTGTCAATTATTTAATGCTAAGTTTATCGAATTTTAATCGTTACTTTTTAATCATCTTTAATATTCTATAACTAGTACGGTTTTCTAATATTAAAAAAAATTTTTTCCAAAACTGCGAGGCATTATTCAAATGCTTATTAATAATAAGTTATTATATAATGATGATATATCTCGTTTATTTCCGTTTCGAATACTCATTCCTCCTACTACTGATTTAAGAATTATTCGTCCTTAAGTCATGCCTGCAACTTTCTTACTTTATTATTAAATCATGCTTGTTTTTAGTACAAATATGTCTAGATTTAAGAAATTTTCATACTTGATTGTAGACCGAAAGGTTCTGAAACCTATTCTTTTTGAACTTAAAAGTTCGTGCTGCATTTTGTTCACTGGCCCTGTATTTTTCATGCTTGTCGATGTTTTGACTCCGAAAATACTTTATTCAAGAACGAAATCATTGATTTTATTTCTGAGTGTACAATGTACACTGTTCAATGTATACACATATTACCCAACAATATAGAATCATCCGACCTCAATAAAGTATAATTATAGTATTATTGCTTTACTCCAATTTATTTGGGCATTTCAGCTTATCAGTTATAAATATTTGATATATTTATTCTGCATTTCTTTATGCCTATCCGGGCACGGGCCAGCAAACGTTTTGGACCCTACTGAAGTAGCGCCCTGGACCGCAGGCCTTGTCCCATGCCATTTCTTGTGGGGATCGGGTGGCGACCTGTGCATCCACACCGCTGAGAACCAGCCCCAGGAAGAAAAGCACAAAGCCTTGGAGTACGTTCATCTTGTCGGAAACAGTGGATGTGTTGATCGGTTTTGGGACCCAAGCGGCTATTTATACCCGGCTGAAGAGTTGCAAACCTCCAACCGAGCATGCGATTCGGATTTTCCAAGTGGCATTACGATTTTACGGTTGCCATTCAAGGTATTTTCGTGACATTCGGGAAGCTAATCACTTACGTAAGCTCTTCGCTGTAGTTTCACTTTTCACCGCTGACCTTTTCTGTTTGCTTGGCTCACTTGGCGTATGCTTGATGGCAAATGTGCAGTGTAAACAAGCGAAACGAGCAGTCCACAAGCACACATTCACCATTTTTCTCCCCCTGCCTCTTCGGATCTCCCCAGTATATCTGGCCCATTTCAATTACATTTCTGTTTGAATTTGAATGCCAAGCGAATCTAGTTTCCCGGCGAGGCCACATCATCAGCTGTAATACTCCTCACTTACTTACTTAGTCACTTTCGTTTCCCCACCCTTTGATTAACTGTCCATTGATACGCACTTATCTTCTATTTGTTCGACTCAGAGAGAAGCCCCAAAATGAGGCAATCGGTTTTGAATGATGTGTCTACTTTTGCGTGGCAACTGATTCGGTTTTAAAGTTGTGACTTAGGTTATACAAATCTAAAGTACAGTATTCAATAATATCTCTTGCAGAGGCTAAAATGAATTCAGTCAGAAGTTTGCAACGAAGCGAAAAAGACGTTTTCGACCCCATAAAGTATATACATTCTTGATCAGCATCACTTGACGAGTCGATCTAGCAAAGTCCGTCTGGACGTTTCTACGCAAAATAGTCTCTCAGTTCTAAAGATATCTGGATCAAAACTTTCCAAAAATTGTATTCGGTTGGCCGAAGTTAACTTCCTTTCTTGTTATATTTACTTTTAATTTTCTGACTTAGAATGTCTTTTTTGGATAGGGGATTCTATTGATATTGAGTCAATTATATTACCAATTTGTATATTATTTTTTAGAACTTTTATGGTATAGTTGGAGTGAAAGAGCAACTGAAACAGTTTTGACCTACTAGAATGACTAACGATTCACCCAAGTTTTTACTGTTATTTATAAATTATCTTTATGTTAATGCCTTTATTGATAGTCTAGATTCTTATCTTTAACTTAATTATCATTATCTTTAATTTAATTGTATCTATATCTTTAATGGTAAAGGTTTAAGTTTTTCTTCTTCCACAACCACTTGAAGCGACTTCCTCGTGCATTTCCCAGTGAATATTTAATATCCCTCTTTTCGGCTAGAATGAAAAGCGAGAGCTGGAAAGTAAAATCGGGAAATCGGTGGTACTCAGCTGAGTGATTGCTGCTGCCGGGAGCTTACATGGGGACATAATTAACCGGAAAGTCGGACTGAAGTTGGGCATATGGGGCGCCCGAAAGTGGGCCATTATGTGTAAGCTGATAGCTTTATGATATATATATATATGCAAAAAGAAGCTCAATCTTTAAGTTTTTACTTTAAACCCTGCTGTGCGAGTAATATTTGCTCGGGCTTTAGTTCGTGGCGAACTTCTAGGGGCTCCCCGCTCCGAATTCAATTAATTACGCGAAAAGTGAAGAGGGAAAGGGAAGCCTGCGGAAGTTGCTGTATTTCGGCACGTGATAAATTAATTTAAGCCAGACCCGGAGCGTTCCTTGTAATGTTTTTGCATACTATACACATCGCAAGGCGTCGTCAGGTGGCATAAAACTGGATCATTTAGGGGGCGGTGGGCTTGGAGGGGGGCGGCCGAGGCAGTTTTGGTTATCAAAGTGGGCGTGGCAACGACTTAATTACGCTACGCACGGCAGCTAATTGAGCTCGTAGCCTAGCGAAAAATAAAACGCCATTTGTTCTGGCATTGGGACACAGTTTCGCTTTTCGGTTAGCAATTACACGCAATTTTCATGGTCTCGTCACCGTGGATTGTGTGTTTTAAAATATGAAAAAATAGAGATATTAAAAAACTCAAATACTATGGATGTTCCTATGTGGTAAAATATTAAACACATCTAAGAAAATGAAGAAGTTAATAATCTCAGCTATCGCAAAATTAATTTAAGTTATTAAAAAATAAATATAAAAATTGTAATTAAAAGAAAAAGATTTAATATAATTTTTCCTTTAATTATATATGTATTTATGTTTTATTAGTTAAGTAGAGATGAAAAATAAACATATCATTAGCCAATTGTTCAGTTGATAACATTTTTTTGGGTAATTGCAAATCCACTGTTCCAGTAGTATCACATTTGGGGACGTGCTTCGTGAGCATTTCATGTTTATGGTCCCAAAAACAGTTCCTTAATTGCCTAAATATTTGAGTGCCGAGCAAACATTTGGCTAAATCAATTTGGCCAGAGACGGTATACTTTAACCTGACCCAGACCCCGACTTTAGACATGAACCGAGGCGAACCCAGCTCACGGTCTCCTTTCACTTGCACTCTTGACAGCTCAATTTACTCGGTTCTATTCGCCCACTTTTGGTTCGGGACGCCAGTAATTACAACTTGGCTGTAATCTGCGTATTAATCTCAGTTTTCGTGGGCCCAGCACACAAAGAGGGTTTTTGGCGGCTCTCGGCTCAGTTTTCCATTTTTTCCCCGTTTTAACATGGAACAAATGCCAGCGAATTTATTTGGTTTACTCTTGCTGAAATTTTGCAGCTTTTCGCTGGCTGCTTTTGTCTAATTTAGCACTTGACACGGAATATTATTAATTGGTCTAGACGAGCGCGAGACAAAAGGCATACAACTCCTTGTTATGAAAGCCTAATGAGCATTAGAACTAATACATAGTTGTGGACGAAAATGGGTTATTTAAAGTACCCTGTTTAATTAATTATTATGATGGGCAATTATTTGGTAAAACTGTTTCGTTAATTAGGAAATTCTAAATTACGAAACGTCATTTAGAAAATTGTGGAAAGAGTTGATGTTTTTTAAATATATCTTAAAGTATTGACACCTTTCGAAATCTGAACAAAAATTGATATATTTGATTTAAAATAATTAAATTTTTTTAAAATTCAAAACAATTTGCAGGAAAGAAGGAATAAATAAAATAAATTTGAGCTATGGAAAATTACAGGCCAAATTAAAAGTTATAAATATTCGAACGTATTTTAACAAACTACTCGTAATAAAAGGAGGCAATGAGTAAAGAATTAAAATTAAAAGGTTTTTGCATACTTGTAGACAACTAAAATTTCATTTAAAAGTGATATATAGACCCTAGTGGAACCCTTAAATAACCATGATTTGCTTTCATCTTCTATATTAAAACATAAAAATATTTAACAACAACCACAAAACAGTATCATGACAACATAGATATCCAGCCAGGCGTGTACAACTTTTCCCGTCGAAAGTCTAGACCACGCACGAAGTGAAATCAAGTCACATCAGGTTTATCCATCCAAAGTGTCATCGGTTCAAAGGCCAGAGCCGTTGGACAAGTACTTAATTAGCCGACGAGCCTTGAGGTGGAGGTTAGCCCATTCACGAGGTGTCCGCCCAACTAGACTTCGTGCCACTTTAAGTTCAGTCTGTCAAGTTCAGGGCTCCGAACTCGAATGTTGGCTTGACAGAATTGCAGACTGCACCCATGTAGCCTGACAACGGCAGTGCCAGTCGGCAGGACTCTTCCCATCCGTATAAGCCCTCTTCAAGTCCTTGCCCCCATGCAACCCGTCTATCAACGTCAGCATGTGAGCCACTTGACTTCATTTTTTTATAATACCTCTTTAATTGTAGTCCTTTAAGGAATGTAACATTCTCAATTATATTATTATCTTTTTAAATATTTTTCGTATTAATTTGGGCAACCTTCCTTTATTATTTTGTCATCAAACTGATTTTCTGCCTGTGTATGCTTTAACCTTTTATTTATTTTTCCTGCCCAAATGAATCTCCCCGAATCTCTAAACATTTTTGTTATCAAAAAGGTCTACACAATGCTCCAAAAGTTTGCCATTGACAAGTGAAAGGCTTCACATTTGTGCCCCATTTGCGTTAAATGCAAAACACAACCGGAAGAATTTGGTGCTACCAATTTGCGGCACCTGGAATTCGGCCTTTTCGCCTGTTGTTTGAAATATCACAGACAATTAAAAAGTTGCTACCATCAAATTTAATGCTTAATTTTAGTGGACAACTTTCTGCATAATTGTTGTTGCTTAACTGCGCCCCTCTGCTAATTTATGCGTCACAAAAGGACGCAGGTAGATAGATATACAGGTGACATCTAATTGCATTTCGCATTGGGGAATTGTCCGAAAAATATCCACATGGAACGTGCTGCGGGCTGGCCGAACTTTTTGCCAGCTCTCCACTTTTAATGAGTTGAAGTTGCCGCAATTTTACGGGTCCACGTGAAGTGGTTGGGATGCCGGATGGGTGGTGCTGAGTGGTGCTGAGTGGCTGTGGGTGGTGCAGGTGGGCGATGGGTGGTGGAAAGTTTACCTGTGGCAAGGGGGGCGGCCGCAAATTGGCTCGTGTGGTCGGCTTTGTTAACGTCTCCTATCGCCGTGTCCTGCCAAATTGAATCTTGGATGGGTCCATTTTATGCTGATGCTCTTTTGATGACAGTGAGATGCTATAGAGATTATTTTATTATGGTTTTTGTGTCTGTTCTTACCGTAGATTTTAGTATTTTTTCGAATAGTAGTCTAGATAATTGTTCTAAAAGCACAAAAAATTGGGGAAGTTTGTACTCTTGATTTGTTTATTACTTATATACTATGTACTTTAGGACTAGATACGTTTCAACAATTATTTAAAAAATATAATACCTATAGTTGGACAGACTTTAGAGTTGCTAATTCAATTTGGATGCACCAGATAAACATTCCAGATTTGTAGGTACCATTTCTTTGTCTCAATGTTTCTCATTGGAAATCTGCCAATTAAAGCTGAATTGAAAGAACATGAAATGGATACTGAATGAGGACTTTCTTTTCGCAACACAGAGCTCTGTGCTCGTAAAGAAAATGAAAGCTTGATTCCTTGTCTGCTACTCGATTGTTTGCACTCAT